AGTAAGTTCAAATTCCTGGGTACAATTTAATACTCTAAATTTCTGAATAATTCTCCAGTTTGGGAGCTCATTAAGATTGTGGCCACCATTAAAAAATGAATCAAATCTCAGAAGTTTCAGTATTTGCTGTTTGTCACACAGAGCTGTTGTAAAAATGGAAAGGAAATCACGTGCTTCAGAGCCCGGTGGTGAATGAAGAGTCCTCTGCAAACGTAAGCTTGTGTTAACCGTCAGGGACAATTAAAGCACAGACTTTTGTTTCTACTTTTTGTAAAGCTGTCTTTTGTGTCTGCACTTTTTTGGAAAGTGTGGATGTGGGGCACTGGAGTGTGATGCACTCATTCTGCGTGTCCTCCTTAGCTGAACTTGTGTCAACTGCAGCTCCAAGGTGCGTGTGGAGTTAACCACAAGCAAGGCTCCATTTGTGAATTTACAGATTTTGAAGGGGACAAGCCCAGCGTTCTCTTCTGCTGATAAGGGACACACACAAAGTTATTACTCTAGGTGCAGGGAAAAGAAAAAAAATCACTTTTCATATTGTGCAACCAACTCTAAACCAGGTCAAGCTCTCCTTCATTGCTGGCTAATATCCAAGTCACAGTGAAAAGCTGATGTTTTTGTTTAGAATGGATTTCTGCAGTGTTTATAAACCAAGTCTCCTTGAAATTTTCATTAGGAGGATCATACAGTTCACCTCTTGTCCTGCCCTTTATCCTTTCTGCTGGAATAGTTCAGTGATTCTGAAAATTCTCACTAGTTTAATTGATTAGTACGGAGAGTTGTTTTTGAAAGTCACCTTCTTCAAGGCAGAATGGAGACTGACATCCAGTCAAGATTCTGTGACCTCAGTTTACACAGTGCAGGGAATGATGGGAATATGACCTTCACAACAGCTTTGCATATATGAGGAAAAGGAGGGGATAGTCATTTTATTGATTTGGTGCCAGCACTTTACTGGGCTCTCAACACCCAGTGTGTCATCAAATCCAAGTAAGTTGTAATCCTGTGACCTAGACATTGTTATCACTATACATACCTACCCTAGTGCTCAACTGCTTTGAAACTCATCAAGTATGGTACTTAATGAATTTTAGTATGAAAGTTTTGTTCTGGAGCTTCTCATTTATTTGGTGCAAGCTTGACTTTGTTGGTATTGATGGCCTCATGATTTGGTATCTTTTCTTATACTTCTTTTTTTGTATCAGGAATCAAACTCAGGACCTTGTGCTTATGACACTGAGCTATATCACCAGCCTGACTTGCTAGCCTTTCTAACTTGAACAATTTGCTTAGTACTGGTAGTGTTTGGTACTCAGGATTCCTTCTTGAACTAATTTATAGTAAGTAACAAGATACTACTATATTTATAGGTGAAGAAACTGAGGCTCAAGTGGTTTTCTGCTTAGTGCATGGTGGATCTTATAGCATTTCAACAAACTATTCCAAAGCCTAAAAGCTTACAATGATAACCATCTACTTTTGCTCATAAGTCTCCAGCCAGCAACAGTTGGCAGGGTAACTGAGCAGCTCTTCTGATTTGGGTCAGGTCTGACTAATTTTGGTTGCACACATTCATGTTATAGCTATTTGGCTACTTAGGAGGTCTCTCTCTCTCTCTCTCTCTCTCTCTCTCTCTCTGTCTGACTGGTTTTGGATAGTCTTTCCCCATGTGTCTGGAAGTTGGTTAACTGTTGGCTACAGTAAAGAGTGTGTAAAAGGTTGTATTTTCCAACGATGTAGCACTGACAGTTTTCTTAACTGTGTCTTTCTCTTGAATCTAGGAAGATCTTTATGATTGCTTTGACCTACAGATATGGTGGAAATAACACTGGGCCAAATTAGAGGTTAGTCTTAAGAACCTTGAAGCTTCCATTTCCCTCCTCTCATAGCATTGCTTTTACCTAGGATTCTGTGTAGCCATGTATAGCTGTCCATCCAGCAGTTACAGCTGAGGTTCCAGGTGACAGCACAGTAGCATCAACTACCAGGTCCATGAGTGAGTGAGCCTTCAGATGACTCCAGCTCCAAGATGTCAAGTTACTCCCACCTTTCGAGTGCCTCCCCACCCCCAGCAGATGCCATGTGGAACAGAGCTGAACTATGCTTGCCAGGCTCTGCCCAAATTGCTGATCACAGGCAGAAAGTGATAATTGTTGTTTGGAGCTACTGAATTTGAGGTGGTTTGTTATGTGATAATATATAACTGAAATAGAAGGCCATGTGTCTCATTTGGCAGGCTAGTTTGGCTTCTTTTCACTATAACCTGCAGGATTCTGAGAGATCTGGGGGGATGAGAAGGGAAAGGAGAGAGAGAGAGAGAGAGAGAGAGAGAGAGAGAGAGAGAGAGAGAGAGACTCAAACACAAAAGTATCTTGAGGACTAGTCTTAAGGGAGTAGTAGTACTAGTACTGTGTCACTTCCTCTGAATTATGTGATATATAGCAGATCACAAGGCCAGTGCATATTCAAGGGGTAGGGGAATAGACTCTGCCTTTTGATAGGAGCATCTGAAAGTAAGTGGAAAAATAGACTTAATCTTATTTGTAAAATACTGGAGTATGGTACCTACTAAGGCTTATGTCAATTAAGGCAGCAAGAAAGGCAAACTGACACTTTAAAACCTAAGAAACTTTAAAGATTTTGTCTCATGTAGCAATGCATATAGATCACTGTCCAATTTCTGGAAAGTTTAACCATGTAGAATGTCATTTGTGTGCAAGGGTTTTTGAATATCTTGGACATGGTTATTGTAAAACACATTGTTATTGTTTGTGTCTAGATGACCCCCAAAGCTTCATGTGGTCATAGTTTTGGAGTTGGCTGAATCTAGAGTGTGTGACTGATTCATAGTGCAATGCTGGGATTAAGGGTATTGGGATTAAGGGGTGATTGATGGATCAATCCATTGGTTGGATTGGGACTACTTTAATCCTGGTAGGCTGGACACAATACAAGGGACAGAAGGAGGCTTGTCTTGCACTCTCTTTGCTGTTGCATTTGTTGGCTTCTGCCACCATGAGCTGTTCCCTTCTGCCATGTGCCACCCTGCCTTGGAGCCAGCCAGTTATGGACAGAAACCTTTACAAGCTGTGAGCCAAACAAACCTTTCCTCCTTGAACTTTGGGTGTTGGGTATTTTGTCTCAGCAATGAGAAAAGTGACTAAACACCCACTTACTTTATCTATAGCAGAAACATAAAAAAGTCTTCCTTTGTCCCCCTCCCTGGGGAAGCCAGTGTAGCAGTGGGACTAAAGCTTGGAAGGAGTGTGAACAACTTTATTTCTAATGTTTCAGACACACAGGGCATGTGTTAAAGCTTGATTCACATTCACTCATTAATTTATTTGAGAGGCACGTCATATTCAGTATGCCTGACAGAGGTTGAGGTGATGGTTGATCTTAGGACTCCTGCTAAGATTCTTGCTGGATCTGAAATCACAAACATCTGCCACTGAGGATAGGTTTCACTAGGTAGCAAAGGAAGCCAGTTTCACTCTGAGGCAAATTTCATATCAGGCCACCTTTGGAGTAAATTTGGGAGCTCTTGGTAATGCCTACCTCAATCAGTCACCAATTTGCTGGGCTGGGGAATGTAAGGGATGTCTGCTGGGCTGGGGTGGTTTGATTCCTCTTTGAACTTTCTCAGACTAACTTACCAGACTAACTGAACCAGTCAAGTCAACTGATAATTACTGATACCTGTAGGCTCCTGCAACTGCCAAGGGAGCTGAACACAGAGTTAAAATGAAGCCTAGGCCTTTCTTCAGAAATGTCAGTAAACCAATTCCTGCAATTCTTGCCATACCAAGCAGGGTATGCCTAGACAGCACTGAATAGGAACATAAACTTTAGCCTATGGATTTGGGAAGGTCCAAAAGGCTTCAAGATGAAAAGAAATTATTTAGGAGAAGTGGAAAAGGCATTATAGGCAGGAGGAACAACATGTGCAAGGATCTGGAAGCATGTGGGATGCTAGAGCAAAAGGTTGATTTGTGAATGAGAGAAAAGGCAAGGAGTGTACCATAAAAGAAGACAGGGCTCAAAGGAAGAGGGTGTAGAAATCAAAGGCAGCAAACTGTAAAAGATAGTTGTGATAATCAGTGATGAGGGTTACAGCCCCAAGGGCAGTTGCAGGACTAGGTCAGAGTATGTTTTAAGGATGTGCTGTTCAGTGAATTTGAATTAACTGAATGAAGGGATGAGGTTGCCCAGATTTTGAACAATGGATGGGTGGTGCTGCCATTGTTTTATGGAGGCAACAAAATTAAATGTGCAGGTGAGGTTGGGACAGTGGTAATTTTGGTTTAGGACGTGCTGTGTTGGAGAGGCCCATGGGATTCAAGCCTAACAACATGTACCTTGAAGACTTTAAGACTGTTTTCTGGATTGCTTCACTTCCTTCTTTTCCCCTCTCTTGCCTACTTCCATTCTTTCTTCCACTATCTCATACAAAACTAAATTTCTAAACAAATACTTCCTCGTGGAAGACATATTTGAAATGAACTCTATGTGTTGATAAGAGTATTGGCTAGGTATCTACCATTTCCTAGAACATGCCAGATTTCCCTTCAAAATTTGCACTCTGAGTATGGTACAGTGTCACACGCACTCCATTAATGGTTGTCTTTGCAAACATCATACACATTAAGGTGAGCCTATGTCATGCTCCCTGTCGCACACACGTTCTGGAGAGAGGAGTGTGGGTTGTCTTCCCCAGTACGGACTGCTTTGTATGTGTCCCCAAACCTAAAATATGTTACATAATTCTCCAGCTATGAGAAGGAAAGTTACTTCCTATGACTTTACACAGTTTTATAACTCATCAATTAAAACTTTAATTTGAATTTCACAGTAATTCTCTGAGGTATATGGGAAGATGTTATGAATTCCATTTTACTGATAAAGAAAATGAGGCTCAGAGAGTGTGACTCACCCACTGCAGTAGACATGGAACACAAACCCCAGTCTCCTCTCCAAATCCAGTGTTCTCTCTATTCTAGTACCATGGCCCCATCTGGGGAAGAACAGCCAAGGATGGGTGAGCTCTAAAGGTCCTGGAGTGAGATCCTCTAAGGAAGCATGGTCTGGTCGTGCAGAAGCACAACAGCAAGCACGATATATTCACATGTGCATCGTGTCAGTTTCCCTCACAGAGGTGAGCCTTCGCCTTTTGTACCCTGGCCTTTTCACTGCTCAGAGGCTTTGGACAGCTATTGCAGTTGTTTGCTGTTCCTTTGGGTGAGGCAGTCTTGTTAGGATGGAATTTCTACTTTTCTTTTGGGTGCAATAATTTTCAAAAATATGATAGCTTTCTGCTTTATGCATAAGCATTTTTTTTATCACCTTTATTGCCAGGCCAGAAGCTAGCAAAACTCAAGCACCACTGCTAACTGCAGGAGTGGATTTCAGGTCTGAAACTGATCAAGAAGCTATGTAGCTTAGCAGCTCATCACTTACTGTCTAGGACAAAGTGACTGGGGATTAGCAGAAGAAAGGTAAAGATAAGGCTCTCTCTCACTTTGTTGGTGACTTGCATGGTGGCCCTTTGCAGATCACCTACCCTGGCAGAAGTGGGCATTCACACAGAGTATCTTTGGGAGAGTATATTTTTTTAAAAAGAGTTTATTTAAACATTTTTGACAACCTCAATGTTCCAAATATTAAGATGGAAATAATATATAATGACCATTCCTTTATGGAAGTAAGATTATGTTATAATCTTCCTTTATTAGCTCTCACTGGATCTAATGAAAAATAACTGTAAATGACTTTGGTACATATACAAAGAGGATGTTCAATATAAAAAATGGGTAACATCTTCAGAAAAATGGGTCCTGAGAGGTAAATAACTTATCAGTCATATTAATATTACTTGAATATTATTATTCTACCATGAGTGAATGGTCACATTCTTGTGAGAAAAAGTGACATTCTTATTATTCATTCTGAAGAGAAATACTTTCCTTTTTGGGAAATTGCCAAGGGACAGGCTTCCTGGGCTCTCCTTTCCTGCCAGGTAGTTCCTCTAGAACCCTCACAGTTGCTGGTGGAGATGCTGCTCTAAGAGTTACAGAATCAAGACCACAGGCTTCTCTTCCACAGATTTATTTTGTGATTTTCTTCCATTTCTTCCTAGCCCACCTTTGGAGCGGGGATGTCATCAGGGTAGCAGAGAACAAGTGATGAAAGACAGGCCTCTTGAGTACCTGGAGAAGGGCCAGGTATCAAGGGATGGCAGCTTTGAAAGCCTTAGCCACTGCTGTCCATGAACAGACTTAGTATGGAGGCACCTTGAAGAAGCCTGCTGGTCCTTTTTCCTCGGAAGCCCTTTTGGGTTGAGATGGAGCTGCGAGGCGGCAGAAGACAGGACTGTGGTTCCTCACCATCCCTGCCTCATCATCAGGTGCTCCTCCTCTGAAATCATATATTGGCCAAGACACTTGTTGATATGTATGCATTGCAGGCTGTATTTCACCTTGGTTGGAATCAGTTGAGAAACCCTTTGTTTGCCTCAGTGTGATCTTGCTTAAAAGCTTCCCAAACTCTGGCAGGAGAAGTTTAGACTCTATTGCTAGCTAAGTGACACTAAAGCCAATTTAGGCCTTTACAGGTACTTGCTACCTCTGGTAGACAGGGATTAAGTGGAGAGATATGTAAAATTCCCACCTTAATGTTTGGTTGCACTCAGAACTGAGATACAGCATTGAACTAAATTGAAGATGAGGCAAAATTCCTGTCCTCCTGCCTCCAGGCTCCTTAACAGAATTTGCTTGCTGATTTTCCCCAGTGCTGCCCTCTGCCCTCACCTGGTCCCTGTCACACACTTCACGGCAGTACAGTATAGCTCTCTGAGGGTGCTGCTGATTCTTGTCACTTCGATAAATCTGATCACTCTGCTCACTGAATGCATTGCAGCATACCTTGTGGCCTGCCCAAGATGCTCCTAAATGTAGAAGCTGCTATTCATCCCATCTAACTCTTTCTTCAGACTCAGTATAAAAGCAATGAGTGAGAGGTTATTGTACAGCCTTTATGATAAATTGCAGATGGCTTTAATGATAATAAAAATGACAAAAGCATAATGAATATCCATTAGGAAATCTGCTTTTGATTTAGATGCCTTCCCTTATTATTTCATTTAATCCTTATTGTAATCCTCTTGAACCCTTAAGACCACATTCATTTACCAAATCTTTACCAACATGAGAGCCAATCATCCTGCTCTTCTCATGAATATTCATCTTGTAGGATTCTCAATATTTATTTCTGTAGTGCAGTCATTTATTTGTTTAGAGTCATCTAAGGAACCACAAAAAACAATACATCTCATTCCCAGATAATTGCAACCGGTTATCTTTTAACATCAATCAACATCCCATAGCATACTGGACAATTTATTAATATTTTATAAGTAATAAAATTATTTTATTTTGGGAAAGGCCTCAAAGCTTCCTAGTTTTTCTAAGATTCCTGGGTTTCTCTGTGACTTTCTGAGGCCAAGCTAGGCTCAGCAGCAAAGGTGGCAGAAGGTCATGAAGAGTTTCCCTTGGGTGAAAACTCTAAAACCTACCTGGGCCTGATCTCCTGGAGTTTAGTCTCTGTCCTTGAAGACAAGCAGTAGGAGAACCTCTGATGTGATTATACTCATGTGGCACTAATCACAAGAGTGGTTACAACATTCAGGTGCATTTATGTGAGTGTGGAGGAGGGAACAGGCATGTAGTATTGGAGGCGGATGACCTATCATTCCAGTTTTCCTGGGAATAAGAGGTTTTCAGGGACACAGGACTTTTGGTGCTAAGATCAGGACAGTCCCAGGGAAACTAGAATGATTGGTCATCTTAGCTATAGGAGGAGCTCTTACTGATTCAGCCATTATTCAGGGTGGCTGTTTTGGTTAATGGTTTAGGGATTAGAATCAGAACTGGTTCAAAGCTTAGTTCCATCATATGCTATGAGAACCGAGTACTTTAGTTTCTTCATCTATAACATGGTGATATTAATTGTGCCTGATTCCTAAAGTTGTTATTCAGATTAAATGAAACACCAAGCATAAAGTTCTTGATAGATAGAGGGGTCTCAATCACTGATAGTCATTATATTGTTTTACCTGGGAACACAGTCCCATGTTGGGGGTATTCTGTCTTGAGTGTAGCCTGCCCAAGATGCCCCAGTGTCGATGTTGGTTGCATCGTGCCACCGTGTTAATAGGAAGTACATGGCTACATCCTGTGACATGTTTGTTAACTGGTTGGAGGACTTTATGTCAGACCAGCATGAGGGCGAGAAGAGATGGGGACTGGACGGCTCCAGGACTGGCATCTTTCCTGCAGGCAGAATCTGTGTTCTGACCTTAAACTATGATAAATGTCATAGCCTAAGAGTGAGGCTGGAAGTGTCAGCAGGCAGAGGACCCAAGAAGGTTCATTTTGAGAGAAGGTGGGGAAGAGGTGTTAATTGGCAGTTAGTAAACATTAGGGCCAGTATTTTTGTTATCAAATGAGCACACACATTCCTCTCACTTACGGGCTGCTGGGTCAGTTGTTCTCCAGAAGGTAAAGTGTTGGACTTGATTTTCTGATTGCCTGATCTCTCTTCTTGTCTGCATTAGATGGTACAGAGATCACAAGTCTCCTCCAAATTTCTCCTAGTGCCTATTTCTGTCTCAATTCTGTTCCCTGCCTGGCTTTTCTTCCTTTTGCTTTGAGGAGTTGGGATCCTGCTTTGTAGGATAACAAATAGAACTGTCAAACCCATCAGTGCTGCCGCCTGCAAAGATAAATGGGGCGACGCGTGGAGCAACCTCTGTGGATCCTGAGGCCCCAGCAGGAACTGACATTGTGACAGATGGGGGACAAGTGGTGCTGACACAATCGGGTCGTGTGAATGTCGAGGGGGTGAGGTGGTGTCTGCTCCCCTGTTGGCTGCCCCCCCCCCCCCGTCTTGGACACACTGTGTTGCTGTGGATCATAGAGAGAAGCAAGCAGATCCCTGCTCCTCCCCAGGCCTGTGAGTCCGTGTGAGCAGCACAACAAGAAGCAGGCTGTCTGCAGAGCACCCTGTTATCTCAGGGGCAAACAGCTGAGTTCTCTTGCAAAGTAGGTTCATCTTGGGCAAAGAACCAGGGCAAAGTTTGTGTTTAACCCTTGCCCTCATCTTTCTCCAGGCCTGATCTGCTGGTTCATGTTCTCATCAGTCTCTCCAAATAGCCAGCAGGCTCATCTAGTTTCTGGATCACACCCAGAACTTCTCCCAAGTGTTGTCAATTAGCTCATACACTGGATCTTTCCAATCTTCCCTTGCATATTGAAACACACCCTCTGTTTCCCATTTCATTAGTAGAGCTGTCCTACCAAGATCTCCTACATTTTCCTTGCTGAGCAATGCAGACACTAACATATTCCCTAGGAAGCACGAGGGTGGGCTTTCTGGAGCTCCTGGAGGAACATGGTCTGTAAGATTAGAAATGCCACTCCAACAGGATCCAAATGGTTGGTAGTATTCAAAGGCCAACATTGTGCATAGTAATTATTTACCTTAGTTTCTTTTCTTCTCTGCCACAAGTGTAGCTTTCCTTTGAACAGAGGTGTAGTTCTGAGCTGAGACTTCTCTGAGTCTCTTGACTTCGGTAGCCTGGGATTGCTAATGAGCTGCCTGGGACCCCAGGCAGTCAATTCAATTCATTCAGCATGCAGTCAGGATCCACTTGCTGCAAAGCAGTGTGCTGACTTCTGTGAGTTGGAGAAGACAGAAGTAGGGCTGCAAAGATAGTAACGATGTGGCTTTATTTGAGAACTCACAGTTTAGCTGAGAAGAGGGATACATATGAATAAGTTGACTACAAAATCAGCCATGAGAAAGAGTTTGAGTTGAGGGTAAGAATAGAAGAATGAAGACTAATTTTGATTTGAGAGGAAGGATGACATCCTTATGAAAGAGGTGGGACTGAAGCAGGGCCCTAAGGCAGAACAGGCTTTGGAAGGATACAATGGTAGGAAAAACTCTTTATGTAGGAGGGTGTCTTCTTTTTTTTTTTTCCATGCTGAGACACAATACCTGATACTAGCAACTCAAAGGAGAAGAGGTTTATTTTGGCTCATGCTTACAGTCCATGGTTGTTATGGTTTATATCTAGACGTCCCCACCAAAAGCCCCCTGCAGTCATGGGTGAGACTTTTTCGGAGGTGGGGGAATTTAGTGTGTGATGTTGGGATAAAGGGTGTGTGGTTACTAAATTACTAACCTGGTTTGGGACCACCCTAGTCCCAGTAGCCTAGATAGAGTATCAAAGAGGCAGAAAGAACTGCTAAGGTCCCTTAGTTGTTTTATTACCTGCTGCCTGCCATGAACTATTTCTCCTCTGTGATGCCTGTCTGCTGTGCCTCTCTGCCTTGGAGTCAGTTGATTATGAACTGAGATCTCTAAAAGCTGAGTCAATTAAACTTTTCTTCCTTTAATTTGCAGTGTTGGGTATTTTGTCTCAGCAGTGGGAAAGTAGCTAAGACAGTGGTCAACTGGCAGGAGGCCACAGCACGGGGTATGGATGAGAAACTTCTCAGGGCTTGGGGAAGGAAAGAGAGGTAAGGAGAAATGCGAAGGGAGATTAACACTTTCAGGGGTACTCCTCCTCCTCCCTCTTTTCTAACCAGATCTCACTCCTAAGATCAAGTCAGTGATAAGCCTAGATGATCCAGTTACGTTCACAAAGACCCACCTATGATTGCATGAAGCTCTTGGGGGACATCTTAATATAAACCATAGAGAGAAAGAGAAAAAGAGAAAGAGAAAGAAAGAAAAAGAGAGAGAGAGACAGAGAGAAAGAGGTTGGTAGAAAAGATTGTTCACAGGCTTAGGAGTACAATTTCCTTCTATAATAAGTTTGGGTAAGGGGACAAAATGACTCTTCACTTCTCATTTCATCTCTTATTCCAGAATTTTTAATACAACTGGATGCCGCCCTTGATAATGAGTGTGGAGATACATAATTACATAGCTTTCTTTGATTTCTAAAAAACCAAACAGACAGGGTGATGGGCAATATAGGGAAAATGGACAGAAGGATAAGGTGGTATAGAGGGTCTCTGAGTAGAATGAATGAGTGTGTGTGTGTGTGTGTGTGTGTGTGTGTGTGTGAGTTACCCTCTTTTAATCTCAATTTCTCTACCTTAAATAGGGATATCATGTAATACTGGGCCTAACATGGACATAATGGTACTTTCCCCCCACAGTGTTGTCATAAGGCTCAAGAGAGAAATGTATGTAAAATGTTTAGCACGGTCCATCTCATACCTGCTGGCTATTATTATGATTATCCCCCTAACTCCTGATCCATTTTCGCAGGCAAGTACTCTCAGAGTGTGTTAATGGGCAGCTGTATGAGAGGAACATGTGGTTTGTCCACAGAAATGATGCTGCCGAGAGATGCTCAAAGTCGAGATGATGAGGAGACTTAACAAGATCAATACCACTTTTGGAAAAGATTATATGCTATACTAAGCAGCAAACAGACCATTGAAACTGGATTTGGAAAGCATTTATGGAGTCTATTAGAGATGGTTAAGCATACCAACACAAAGAAAAATAGTGAATTATACACATGAAGCCCACTAGCATTCTTTTTCTTAGCATCTCTTTTTCTCTCCCTTCTCCTCTCTGCCCATTTTCAGGATTAGGGAAGCAGAACACATCTTGTAACATCCTTAAGAAAAGTTGAGGGAAAAGTCTACATGGGTATTATGGCTGTGTACATCTAGCCTAGAGTGTGTGAAATTTTTGGAACTGAATAGGAGGAGATGCCTCAATGTACAGCAGACAATGGATGAGTTTGCTCTGATTAATAAACTGATGGGTTTACCCATATAACCTAAACTTTTTGTTTAACATTTTAAGTTACCAGTGAACAACTTAGTGCATTGGAGCAGTAATTCTGTGCTCCCTGGTGGCTTGAAATAATTAGATTATTTTGTGTAATGAATAAATGAGAAGTTAACTCACTGGCACGGATCAATGTGGTAACATGATTTATTTCTTGTAAAGGGGAATGCTCTGGAGTTTAGGCCCTCCAAATAATTGTTTTGACTCCCTTCCCTTTCTCATTTATAATATGTTTTGGGCCATTTTGTGTGAGAGGCTGCCCAGTGGGGTGGATAGAGCATATGGATTTTGGGATCAGCCAAGCTTGTTTCAGTTTTTACTTAGGTGTGTGACCTTGGGAAAATCATCTAATATGTGCCAAATTCTACTTCCTTGTCAATAAGATGAGACTACCTTTTGTGGGAGGCTTATGAATTAAATCAGTTACTGGTAAGAGTGGACTTAACACAGCTCCTGGCTTCCTTGGAAATTCAGAGAAACTGTAGGTTTCCTTACTGTCTCCCTCCACACACTATTATTTTAAAATGATGAATGATTATAGGAACGCTGAATGGCACATTCATTAGTTCTGGTTTTATTCATTTGTTAGGTTAAAAGCAACCTCTGCCTTGATAAAGTGCTTAAATGAAGAAGTTTTCCGAGTACAATTTTTGGGTGTTGTAAAAGGTGCTTGAAACCTAAATATTCTTGTGGAAATCTATATGAGCATTGTGTTTTATTATTGTTAATGACCTAATTTAAGGCAAAGCCTCTATCATCATACCTAGCAATGATTACCTTAATATGTAAAATTAACACAGAATCTTTATTGGGGAATTAGCTT